GTGAGGGGCTGGGCGGCGGGTCCCCTGCAGAGCTGGGGTTCTGGTTCTCTTCCTCTGGATAAGGGAGGCCACAGCAGAGGACAGAGTTCTGAATTGTCCAGGTGTGACACGGTCCACGCAATACTGGACCTCCAGGCCATCTGGACGAGCAAAGCCGTTTCAACCTCACCCTGGGGGCTCTGCATTCATCCCTGAAGAGAAACCTAGACATGTGCCAGGTGACCAGGAGTCCCAGTCATGGGGGTTCTGGAAGCTGGATCCCCAGACAGGAAGGAAATGCCACAGCCTGGTCTCCTGCCCTGCGCCCAAACGGCAGTGGCTCAGTGATGGGGGTGACACTGGGGCTTGGCAGGACCCCAGACCTGGGGCTCCAAGGGGAGAGTCTGGTCACATGGGGAGAGGGCTACAAAGGGTCCATGCTGTCCCCGAGCTCTGCCGAGGCTTAGCTCCTTTCCAGCCTTCCAAACGGAGGCTCATCTGCATCCCTATGGCCAGCCCTCCCTCCCTCCCTCAGGTGCTATAGGCAGCCGGGTCTCTGGGCAGGCACTGTGTGTCCATCCCACAACCTGGCTGTCCAGCAGGGGGTCATTACCAGCCAGGGAGAGTTGGCAACTACACAGACCACTCGCCCACCAAGAGTCTGGCAGGGAGTGGGATTCCCGGGCTGCGGGTGAGGGGACTGCACCCAATGCTCTCAGGCAACAGCTGTGGTCTCAGAGCCCTGGGGTCCTCTGGGTAAGGGGCTCTGCCTGGCAACACCCCCAGGGTGCCGCTGGTCAGCTGCCCGGGCAGGCACTGACAGCTGGCAAAGAGGGCTCCATGGAAGGGAAGGAGTTGGCTCCATGCAACCCCAGAAAGGAGGGTCTCAGTGACTCCAGAGGGGAAGGCTAGAATTTACAGAAGCTGTGGACCCTCCACGGGGGATGAGGAGCCCTGACTCTCCAGCAGGGGAGATCCGTGATTGAGGGGGAGACTCTCCGGAATCACAGGGGTTGTGACCCACGAGGAGAAGTGGGCCATAATCCTCGATGGAGGGTGGGGAGTCTTTAGCCCCTCCAGGAAGAGAGGGCCAGGACCCTCGGGGAGGGGGCTCAGGACCCACGGAGGAGGAGGGGGCCGCGACCCTCGGTGGGGGATGGGGAGTCTTTAGA